CAAACTGGCTACATCTGCAAGTATTTCAACGTTTCCACGGCACAGTCTAATCCCGTTCCGTAACAACCTATGCCCACGCGCCGATAAGTCAAAAGGCCCTGTCTACCGGGTGGCGTTATACTTTACTAGGCGAACGTAGGCACAATCAATAGTCTTGGATGAGGTGCCCGTCATGGACTCTTCTTGCATGGGCTTAGTAGATACCTTGTACCACCAAGGTATCATCCCCAGAGCACGACTGAGATCCCCGATGCGCACTCCTTCGTCCATGTCCTTCCACTCCTTGGGCCTGTGCACCTGAAACATGCTTCATCTGGGTTTAGCGTAGGACATGCAGGCACCACAACACACACCGTCCTTTGTAAGGGCATCAACGGAACAACATATACGGCTTACAATGGATGAGGTGCCACCTCCCGTGCATATGTCTCTTGAGTGAGGTGCCGAAATCCTGGACCCATCGGACCGATGTCTCTCCTCCTACACACCAGATAAACATCCCACACCTTTCAATGGCCATCGGAAACACACCCAGTCGGCACGCCAACGATCCTCACCTCATATCCCATCGCCCTTGCCTCGGCCATTAGAACGACTCTGTAGTCAAATGTCGGTAACTCCGGCAGTATGACATCCTCGAGGCTTGTTGCGCTGTGATTTACGAGTCTGTAATCCGCTATTGACGTCATAAACCGTCGACCTTTGGCACGTGTAATGCTCGACTCCGACTCGTCCGGATACGTGGCGTATATGAGCCTCAGGTACATGAACGGTGTGGGTGCATCGGGTGTTATTGCAAGAGATGCACGGGCTTCTGAAATCGCGCGCGCCCTGTGCTGTCTAGGACTGCGCCTTCCACTACCCATGAATGGGTCCAGAGACCTCAGAATCGTGGCCGCGCTAAGGGTCTCACCTCGTTGTGACATTATGGCACCCTGCACCTGCATTATGGCGTAGGCTATAGTGGGCTTAGACCGTATGAAATAACCCCGGGTGTTGCGCCGACGAGGCTCCAGCACGTCGCGCGCTTTACAACGCGTTGCGCTCATCATGCCACTACCAACTAAAATCAGTAACATTAGGCGGACGTTAGGGTTTTGTAAGTGTCCGTCCTACGGGAATCGAGGAACGGGCTGCTGGGACGATAGGAAGCGGTGTGGAGTGGTTTGTGGAGTGTTGGCACGCTTTCATGGTCAACTGGGTGTACCGAGCACAAACTGCAAAATTAGTTCGCGCTTTCTGCAGATTGTGCCATATCGGGGAGGTGAACATCATACTCGCTCTCGGATTGAGCGTGGAAATCCCTATATCCCCAACGTGAACAATCTCGTTACGTACACAATGATTGACGATGTGCGTATTATTCGACAAATACAACGGTTATTGAGATCAATACAACCATCAGTTACTACATCCCATACTCAATATCCCCATGCACGCTAGACAGGGATGCCGTTGGGGAGTTGAAGCATATCTCCTCGCTGGCCGTGGAAGACATGGAAGAGGAAGGCGCGTATGAATGCCTCCTAACCTTCTTCTATGGTGTGCGCAGCAGTCGGTCAACGAGGTCCGGGTTCCCCAAGCGCTTAAGCGTGACGACGACACTCGGAGCTACTCCCGTCGCGCTAGCAAGCCTTGTGTACGCATCAGATGCCATACGCATGAACCGGCGGCGAGTCCTGTCGTCCCATGAGACGCGGCCGACACTGCTTGAATCATCAATCCGACGGATGACCGGCTCAGGAACACGTTCGGCCGTATCCTCGTCCATGGTGTCATCCCAAGTTGCGTAGTCCAATGCTTCCATCACGCAGTCAGGGATGTCCAACTGGTCCAGCCTCCTCTGTAGGCCCGTGAGGCTAGCGACGAGCTGCTCCACAACCTCGACATGCAGGTCCCGGTTGATCGCGTGAAGCCGAGGCAGCCACTCGTCCGGGACGCACCCAGTGCGCCAAAACGCGAGCTGAATGTGAGATGTCGCCACCCCCCACAGTGCCTGGTATGTCCACTGCAACTTGTTCGCGGCCGATGGAGAGTTGCTGGTCCACACCCAAGCTGGAGGCACGCGCATCATGAAGCGAGTCTGGTGGTCCACCCACATTGTGCGGAATTCGGACCTGAAGAACGTGACAATGCCCTGCACGACGGGGTTCCCCACGTCTGGTACAGTATCATGAAGCTGCACAATGCGAGTATGGGTTAGGTGGTGCACCATGAAGGGCCCACTCGGCTCTCGCTTGCCCTCTCCCCAAGTGAGCTTGTGCCTACGCGAGGACACAAGGACGACGATGTCACGGTCCTCTGCAAATTTCGCAGCGTTGAGGCCTAGCATGAACTGCGTGAAAAGCTGCACGTAACAACATAGAGTATCACAGAGACATATATTGAGCACCAACGTCTTGAGTCCATATATAGGAGACATTTTTGCGTGTCATCTCTAGTACATTTCGCCATTACCTGGGGGGTTATGCGGCCGGACCGAGTACGGCGGATATATGCCCACTCGTCGCCACTGACATCGTGGCCCAGCCTCAGTGGCTCCCGATCGGGGCTCACTACAATGGGCCTGAAGCGATGCACGCCGTCTGCGGAATAGAGAAGGCCGATAGACAGCCTCTTCATATCATTCCCATTGCGCCCGACGAACGGATGCAGGTATGGCTGCAGAGCAGGTAGGAGAGAAACCTCTACAAACATGTAGACGTCGCTGGGAGGTGCGCCAAGGCGCGACAAGAGATCCTTTAGAGCGGCCATGGAAGTAAAGTGGCGTCTGCTACACATGGCGGCATATGATATAGCCGGAAGGTTTGGCGGGTACAGCGTCCAATGTAGCTGCTAATTGACAATGAGTGAGTCTAGCTTCTGAAAAGCATCGGCGCCAGCTGGCCACTCCCTCTTTGCCCTGACAGGCGTGGATTGGCCACAGAAGCTACTGATTGCGCAATGACGTGGGTACACCTCATAGGCTACCACGGTTGTGCACGCTTGAAACCACATGTTTGTGCCCTGAAAGCTAATCTGTTAGTGACCTTTCCGTACCCTGTATAGTATATGCCCAGGTCAGTTGGGGTTCCGAGATATTGCGCGCATGAATGCGTACGTCGGTACACTGTTACATTGGCTGGTATAGTTCTACTATTTAGGAACTTTCACGCCGCATCGCCCTAAACATCAATCTACATCATTTATTTTGGATGCTCCACTCATCGTCGGTACGTTCAGTGTTCGACAATAATTCAATGGTGTAACTGAAACGAAGTCGAAATAAATCCATCCGCATCAAGGTGAGTGGCCGAAATGTTACATCGCTGTTAATCGCATTTGGTTATGTTCATAACGGGACATATGTCGTCCCGATAAGGGCTGCACAATTGAGTGTATAAAGGTTCCGCATAGTCTCGGCTGTGCATGCTGACGAGGGTACAGTAATCTCGGCTCAATTGCACTGTGACAAGTGTCAAATATGGCTGGAACCCGCTGCCAATAACGAACCGCCATGGTGGTATCCACATTCTAGAATCGCGCTCTGACCCAGGGTCTCCGTCGTCTGAGCAAATCCGATATTTGTACCCGAAGGTGCCTGGTGGAGTGTATAAACGCTTCAGTCGCACTACAGCCCGACAGTTAAGTTCTTGCCACACTAGGGTTTCGGCCTCTCTCACGAACTCGTAGTAGCCATGGTACCGCGAACCAAAGCCCAGGCCTCTAAACGCGGCCTCCATAGTCCACAAGCCATGACATCGCGTAGGCCACCGGCAGCGGCGCGACGGGATAACACCACGATCCCGGAATCGCTGAGCAACAAGCGGCTGCGCTCGCGTGAACTCCAGCAGGGGGATACGAATACGGAGGCCGCAGTGGCCGCGTCGGTTTCCGCATGGGGCTCGCGGCTGCCATGCGTCAAAGATGAGCCCGCGCCGAATGACGCGCTGACTGCTCTACTGAACGCACCATCTTCAACGACTTTTAAGACGGTGTCTCTGTATAACCACATGGGTGTGGGCTGTCAAGTGAATGCGCACGACGCCTTGACGCTCGCCGACAAGAAATATCTGGGGGACGCGGTCGTCGATTTCCATAACATGTACGTTTTTGGATGGCGATACTCCTACAGGTTGCTTTGTCGCCACCCTACGGTATGCCGACTTTAACGTTTAAACTTTCATCGTGCGTTGTCCCTTCGCACCCGTGCAGCCTCCTGAACATCAGGTACCCAAGGTGTCCGAACGGGAAATCATGGGTGGTCCTTGACAGCAAGGCGTATGCGTATGCCAAGATTCACGGGAAGCCGATTGGGAGGTGCACGGGCCCGTCTGTGTTCGAGTACGATTACATCGCCGTCCCGGTATTTGCCGGGTAAGTACGTCTTTTGCCCGCCGCTGTTATAAGCCCGTCTGTCGCCCCAGCCTAACAAAGACCCCTCAATTGTGCAGGGAACACTATTCTTTGATGGTGGTAACCAACCCGAGCGGGATTGTAAGCCAGACGGCCGCACCTGTGGAGTTCATTCTATTCGACAGTGACGGCCTCCATGCCAAGACTACTGATGCCTTTGACGGGACTAAAGCGTGAGTGTCACTATATACCACCGTGCAACCCCCTTTCAGTGGTATCGTCATGCGACCTCATCTGACCTGTTGGCTATATCGTCGTGCAGGTTATTGCACCTCATGTGCAAACGCGATCATCCGGAGGTGGACCAGGAGGCGTCTAGGCAAGCGCTCATCAAGGCCGAAACGATAATCATGGAGGTGAGATGCTGCAAAGACAGTATGGCTCATTCTATCCCACTTGCTTGCTAATACGGGAGCGCGTTCTGATGAACGGAAACATCGTGTCTCGATGGTGCGCAGGGTCACCAGATCCCCAAACAACCTAACAGCTGGGACTGCGGAGTGTACATGTGCCAGTATCTCGAAGCTCTGGTGACATCTGGGTTCATAACCGTGAGAGAGTACATATCGTTCAAGGGCGTGAGCGCTGAGAGGTACCGCCACAAGATGCGTGGGGATCTTTGTTCTCATGCCGAGGGAACGCTGATTCCCGAGCTGCAGCGCCAGGGTCTCCGCATACCTCTGCAGCCTGTTCCCGTTATCGACGACAACGGATACATATGCGTCGACCCACCGGTGGACATCCGAAGAGAGCTGCTAGACCACAAGGAGAAGTTCGCTGTGATTGAGCACGACATACAGGTTCTGACGGCCAAGATCGAGTATCTGGTTATCCGCAAAGGCGTGACGTCGGACGAGCTGGACGCAGGGGCGCGCCAACACCTGGGTGCCGTGGTCGACACGCTGGTGCCGACGGCGACTCCACGCAAGCACGCCAAAGCAGAAACCACCGCGGACGGAAGTGGCCAGATGGAGGTCGCGCGGACTCCTCCGACGCGTGCACTGGCGGCAGTGCCATCAGTCTCTCCTTGTCCTGCACCTCACACACCTGCCGTGAAAGATAGCCAAGTTACTGCCGGCGACGCGACACCTGCTGTGGTCAGGCAACAACAGCCGCGCTACGACTCCCGTGCCCGCAGCTCCAGGTAACCCCGGAAGGGTCGCAAGCAGCGGCCGAACGGGAGTTATGTGGAACGCAGCGAAGCAGAGGTACTACGTCCGGATCATATCTGCTCGCCGTCAGCAGGTTCGTCTGGGGTCGTACGAGGACAAGGACGAGGCGTCATACGCGTATGCTGCGGGAGCCGTTGTACTTCGCCCGAACTCACGCATCAGCTGCACGGTGGAGCTGTCCGACGGTGACAGGCAGGCTTTAGCCGGGTGCACCGAGGAGATCCTAAGGCTACTCGTGAAGTACAGGCGCTGGAACAGATGGAGGGAGTGGAGAGCCGCAATGGCTGGCCTGGACGATGCGCAGCCGGTCGAGACCCGTTCGCGGCGAAAGGGCAGAGTGTCCCGGGCCATTAGTGACGTTGAGGAGGTGGAGGCGACCACGCAGACTACAGAGGACCAGCCTATGGCTGAAGAGCCAGAGGACCCACCAGAGGACTACACGGATGACGATGAGTCCGTTGACGATGATGCTGTGTATGAACCGGGAAACGATGATTTCGACGAAGAAGATGACTGGGAGGAGGTCAACCGTGCAGAGGGTGATGCCTGAAGCCATGAACAGGGTGGCCATTGGACCACGGAATGTTCTAGTTCTGTGCTCATACTGATAGGACTTAGAGCTGGTGGCGGGTAGGTGGATCTGGAAATGTAAGCATCGCATGTATCACGGTATTGAACTGTCTATATCGAGGAGATGTAAATATACGACAAATAACACTTAAACTTTGCACATGTAGAAACTGTAACCACAGTTGGGGCTAGTGGCAAATGCTGAAATAAGGGGGTGTATAAGTGGAGTATCGCATCTGACAGAAACGAGGACGAGCATCGACGATGTGACAATCGTGGCACGGCGACATTTTACATGTGGAAAGTGTGGCTGACATTTGACTGTAATCAAACTGGCCACTCTAACCGTGACATGTGTAGAATTGTGCGCGTGGCCAAGAGCTTGAGGCAACTAGTGCGGTGAGAAACTCCGGTATCGGGCATTGCGATATCCACGAGAGTGGTAAGGGGACTGTTGCGAGCGAGGGTAGAACCCCGGGGTGGTTTAGAGCTACGCCATTTCAACCCCGCTGTGTATGCGGTCTGAGATGCTGTCTCCGCTAGAGGTCGATATGACTCCCACCGACGGCGGTCGTTCCAAGCGGGCGAAGACTGCGCCGTCATGGTTAGCTGATTCATATGAATACGGGGAGCGGAAGAAGAAAGGACGACGCCTACCGGAACCCAAGAGGCGTAAAACAAGCACAGAAAAATGTGGCGCGGAGGATAAGAACGCGGGGCATGACGAAGGTAACATTTGTGACGTGACAAGTACGTTGCATTTCATGTACCAGTGCTAATGCATGACTGTGGTGAGATATGCCGTATGCGCCCGCAAACTTAACACCCTTCTACCTACCATGCACCTGGTCACAGAGACTCGAGAAGTGCCGCTGCAGATATGCAGCGCCAAGGCTGTCGGGGCCGTCGACACGGAGGCAGCCTGCACGCCCATTGTCGCCAGCGCACCACAAGGGGACTTATACATCGAGGCCGTGAAGGAACGCCTGATAGACGAGTTAATGGAAGGCGAAGATGAGGACGACGAGGAGGGAAACGGTGGTGGTCAGTCGTCAAGCAACGATCCGTGTGGCGAGAACGGATTAGAGGAGGAGCAGGCCACAAAAGCGCCACATTCGAGGAAGCGGATAGAAGCAGCCGATGGCCAAGTCACACGCGAGGAATTTGATGCGTTGCGTGATTCCCAGAATGATACCGCGAAGACACTGGCTCGTCTGGAGTCACACGTACTAACCATCATCCGCCTTGGCGAAGGGCGTAAGCGCAAGCGGGCGTCCACAAGTGCCGCAGCCTCGCTCGGCCGGGAAGCTTCGAAGCGGAAACGGCAGTCAGATGATGACGAAGAATCCACGTGCGATGAGGACGAGTTGCCGGCGAAAGTGGCACGGCACGCGCGTCACGACAAGTCGCCAGTGCTCCAAACCGCCCTTGACATCCTTCCAGCGGAGAAGGCTTGGAAGGTGAGGCCTCGCATAGTGTGTTCTGCTCACCTCGTGGCACAGTTGTTGGATGCACTACATATCTCGTCACCGTGTTCCCCCCCCGCACAACTATTTTCATTGTCGCAGGGTGTTTGCGACATGGTTAAGGATCATCTGTTTCTAGAAGCCCCGAACGAGAAGATGGACTTCTATCCGAGTCGCAACGCCAAAAACGCCGGCCTATGCCATGTCGTGTCCACCATTTCTCCCAAAACTGCGACTCTGGCGTTAGACGCGGATAAGGCTCGACGGCAGGATCTGAACAAGACCTTGTCCGAGTACAAAACAGGGTTGGCCGGTCGCGCTCGCGGAGTTTTTCTTCCACAGATTGGTCTTTTCCGTGACGACGAGGACAGGGCCAGTCCTTGGGCACGTAAGACGGAGCGCACTGGGGAGCGTGCCCGAAAGAGATATTGCGTCCCCGTCCCAGACGATGGTGCGTGTTCGCATGTCATATGGCCGGAGCAATTATGGCCGCAACTCCTGTGTCGTGCCATAGTGGACCAGACATGTCTTTGAACCCTCCCCTTTTTCCGTACGCGGTATCGTTGTACCCATTTTGCATTCCACGTGCGCAGGGGACCCGACCTTGTGCAAGTGGCACATCAGCAAGGATGGACTGCCCTTTGCATCCGGAGCGTTCGCGGCATGTGCCATCGCGGCTTTCGGAGGGAAGCGGAAGGACAAAGAAACAACTATAAAGCTGTACCACCTGTCGTGGCTCGAGCACCTTGTACGTTTACACCGATGCGAACATATGTTGTAGCCACTTTCGTTCAACTAGCCGTTCTAAATGGGCTTCTCCTGCCTTCGCAGATCACGGACGCCATTATCAACTGGGAGAAGCGCAAGGGGAAACTGCACAACTCTCCGTGCGAGAACGGCGCTTCTGTGCGGAGGATTCAGAAGCTGGCTTTCGATGCCATTGCGGATGCAGTATGCCGGAATGAAGTGCCCTACGATGAGGAGAAGAAGTCCTGGAAGTGGGGCAGGCATGGGCTCCGTCTATCATCTTGCGGCCTGGAATGCCTCCTGGAAGATGAAGCAGCCTCCGAAGACGAAGAACATGAGTCCTCCGCGTCGGAAGCATCGGATAGTGAAACAGATGGGTGAAGTGCAGATAGTGTGTTTAATCCAATTGTGTGTCGTAGACTAGTGTAGTGGTTTAGTGGGGACAGGTTGTGGTTGTTGTTGGTTCAGTGCATATGTGCAATAAATCGGTGACATATATGTTGGATCTTGCACACCTAGGGGAGACCTTGCGCATGTTGGACACGAGGATGGTTGAAACGCAACTCTCTGCATTCCGCGCAGTACGGCGACAATTGCGGCGCAAATCGCGGCGACATATGCGGCGGGTTAAATAGGAGCCGTTAGATGCCACGCTAGTCTAGCGACGTGGATAGAGGGCAACCGTACAATCCGCCGAACCGCTCATCAATGAAACGGGCCTTTTTTTAGACCGACGACGGTGTCCAATGGCTATTTGCCACGTGTGTGATGGAGATGGTCACAGGTGTGTTATCGTGAGATCCTAGTTGGAAAACCCTATCACCGAACGGACGGCGTCTGTAGGTACAGGTGGATTCCACTACAAATCGAGGGATGACATTTGTATCGGACGGACGGTAGAGATGAGGCGTATGCGTGTGAGATCTGGAGTTTGTCGGCGTATCCGGAGCGGCCATGTGCCGTGCTGCGGTTGGCAGAGCGGAGTTGCCACTCGACAATCGCGGTCGTACAACTGTGGCCATCTCGACCGTACATGCGGCACGATACGATTCGTTATGGTTGGGCATCCACCTGTCATAAAGCGTGATTACATGTGTAGATATTATGCTGACGTGGAATAGTGACTTCATGTATGCTAATCGGCAGCTATGTGGCAACGCACAGGTGTAACCGTGGAGTGTCCGCATGGTGAAGCAAATGTCACTGACAGGTACATGACGTAGAAGCGACCCCCATGACGCTGTGCGTGTTGCGGCCATGTTGCGGGAAACGTTGCTAAAAAGCTGCGGGAAAGTTGCGGGAAAACCACATTCCCTGTAACCCTGACCCAAAAGCCTTTGACCTAGACTTTTTTCTTGCGAAACCAAAGTTGCGGAAAAGCAACTTTGAAGCTGCGGGGAAGCAACTTTTTCGGCTTTGGTTTTTCGCGATGAAGGACACCGCAGATTCGGACCTTACAGCGGCGAATACGGCGCTGGCGACGGCGCAACAGGCGTTCGATTCCGCCAAAACAGATTACGACAACTCGAAGCGCCTGTACGAAACGGCCAAGTCGTACACGAGCGCGGCGCGCAGCAACGAGCTGGAACTGCTCTCGAAGAACCGCGCTGCGTAGATTAAGCTGATAGGGAACTCGATTATCAGCGCCAAGGCGTCCCGCCGGCTCGTTTCGACGATCACGAGCGAGACGAAGAACAACCGCGCGCCGTGGCAGCAAAAAGCGGCGAGCATGGCGGCGACAAATCCGGACGCGCTCACGGAAATGAGCGAGATCGTGGCGTCGAGCAAGCTCCCTGGCAACGCGCTGTGAACGGTTGGAAGTTGGAACCGATCCGAGCAGTTGGAAACTCTGCAGGTGCGCGAGGAGGTTCTCGCGGGTTCAAACAGTTTTTTTTTTCTAAGCGTGCACATGGAGCTAGCTATTAGGAGACTCTGTGCTTCTGTTGCTAGATCCAAGGACGCACCGTGCTTCTGTAGCAAGCTCCATGGGCGCGACGCGACGCATTGATCACTACTGGTGACTGCGGTGGCGGCTCCTCTGAAGCACGTTGATGCACTCCAGACAGGGCTAACTTTAGTAAAATGACCCGTCTGATGTCAAGACCGGGTCCTGGCTCCTTGTCTGATTGTAAGACGAAAGCTGTAACATTGTCTAGCTTTTCAGACGAATCCTAAATACTTGTCTGAGATTTCTGAGAACATATACTAGCAATAAATATACTGTATAAATATACTAAATAAATAATAGGGAGGTAAGGTACTAGATCTAGTGGTCCAACCAGTAGAAAGTGAGTTGAGAAGATTGAGCTTGCTGGTTCGATTTTTGCCTCCTGCCTCTGCCAGGCAGGTGCATACATCCTTCGAGAGTTTTGCCTTCAGACGAAAAAGACCCGATATCTGCAGTCTCAGACGAACTGTATAAGGCTGTCTGAGAAATCAGATGAATAGAAAAGGCTTCTCTTAAAAATCAGACGAAATTAAACAGCATGTCTACGACATCAGATGAACCAGTAAAAATGTGTTCCGAATCCAGAAATTCAGACCAAAAATGTCTGATAAAGTAAGCCCTGACTCCAGAACCTGATATTCTTTTGACACTCACACTTAACTGAGGTTCTGTCTGAGAGCGTCATTCATGCTCATTAGGGGATTCCTTGGCGTTTGCTTCTGTGTTCTCTTGGCTTTTGGAGATGCATGGAAAAAGGTAGGGGGGAGGGGGAGCGAGGGAGGGCGGGGGGGTGGGTTGGGGGGGGGGGGTGGTGGTGGG